AATGTTTACTCCTTACTAGAATGCATCTCCTAGCAGAGATGTTGCATTTCCAGGTATAAAACAGTGCCTGGCACCAAGTAGGTGTTCAATAAATATTAAATCAACAGTTAAGTACTGCCTTCCAGAATGTGAAATAAAGGATATAGCTAGTAGATGATGTCTAAGTGCTTACAATTCTTACATTTTATGAGTTCATCTTAAGAAATGATTTTTTTCAAATAAAAAACTCCCCAAACTGCTTAAAAAGATGGCTTACAAAAAACTCTAAACTTTGAAGACATCACTGCATTGAATATCCCTCCACACATGTAGGATTTTGACTGTATACTAACCCAAACTTCCATACTGAGTTTAAGATTGGTGCTGTCTCAAACCCTTCCTAGGGGAAAGTTATTCTTTTATGCTATCCCTTAGATGAGTCTGAAAGAAGCAAGCAAAGCCCAATCCCTGCTCCTGTAGAGGTGTAGGCTCCAACCTAGCTTTGCTGTGAGCAGCTCCATGGTCTGAGAAGATCTTGATTTTCCCCACTTCCCATTTCTCTCACTAGCCAATTCTGTCTGGTAATTGCAAATGAAAGACAAGTTTGGACAGAACCACAGAGGACCTGGGGCTGCAGGAATGGGACGTTGTATCACTGGAAGCTGAAGCCGTTTCTGCAGCCACTTTCTATCATCCCTCCTTTTTGACCTCCCCCCAACTTTTATCCTTTCACTGTCTCCTTCTTGAATATATTGTTTGCCTGCTCACTTAGCAGTTAGGTGAAAAAAAAAATCTAGCCGTTGCAAAAGCAGTATGTCTTTCTGCCAGTGACACAGTGACATTGGCCTGAAGCCTATCCCCCACACCCATCTTTTGAAACATCTTCTCTCTCTTTATAGCTCTGTAACTTCCATGTGACCTTCTGCTCCACGTGGTACCACAACCTGGGCGTTTGGGTTTTCTATGCCCTTTGGTACCATCAATACTAACATTCTGTGATTCTGGGATTACTTTCTTTACACAAGGATTCACTAAATAATTCATTTAATTGGGAAGTTCCTAAGTATAATTAATCTATTTTCTAAAAAATATACCATGTGAACATGTTAAAGGCATGTTTTTAATTGAAATGGGTACATAGGTAGAATCCTTTATTTGAGCCCTTGCATGTCTACCCGTCTGGAATCAACTGTCTCAAACCAGAGTTTGGGACCTTGTTTTTTCATGTTGGAGCAGAATTCGTATCCTATTTTTTCATTTCATACACTTCATTCCATGGTTGTTTTTAAAATGTTAATTGTCATTTGTTGTTATCCTTACATTCAGATTATATTCAGTGCCCATATTGTATGAGGAGGTTTAATGAAACCGCAGCCCAGCGACATATTAATTTCTGCAAGGATCAATCATCTCGCCGAGTCTTTGATCCAGCCCAGACAGCAGCCAAATTGGCATCCAGAGCTCAGGTAAATAATCCCTCCCCGTGTGTTGGCTCTTGTGTCCTTGCATGCCTGGGGCAAGCAGGTAGAATTTGTTAGAGAACTTCAGTTACCCATCCTAAGAAGTACAAGGATCAAGAGAACTGATCACTGTCACTTGGCCCCATGGCACTCAGCTTCTTTCAGGGGCAATGCTTTCCAGCTAACAGGACCTTCGGGTGTTGTAGAAAAAATATTGCTAAAGTATTTGAAGCTTCTTCGGATGAAGACTTGAATATGTAAATTGTGTTTCTATAGCATTATGGCAAAACTCTGTTTATCCATCGGTGGTTATCAGCCTCAACCACTCAGAAAAGAATTGTGAATCTGAGGTGAAACTGCCTGAGCAGGGAAGGCTGTCGTAAGGAAACTGCCCTACAGGCCGTGTGTTTTGCTCTGTAGAGGAGGGGTCTTCAGCCCTTAGTGAAAGCCACAGAATCAGCATGTTAAAGGGGTATGTGGATGAATGGAAGCAGCTGTTATAAATAGGTACAAATAGGTAAAATGACAACCTGAGGTGGAATCCAGTATAGGTTTATGACACACAGATAGAACTGGAGTCAGCAAACAGCTCGGTACACACCGATCGTCCCAGGGACATACAGTATTGCATAAAAATGATTTGTTTCATAAACACGGCTCCGACACCAAGATAAGATTAAGTTCGTCTGAATACTTTAAGAGTACACAACATGTTTTGAAAGCTCTCCGTTAAATCCAGTATCTAATGGGATGGGATCCTTTCCAACAACAGTATATCACATGGACTATGAATTCTGAGCTCTGTCCCCACGTACATTAGAGAACTGAGAGAATTATTGAGCATCTACTGTGTACCAGACACTGTGCTAGGTACTGGTTGAATTCAAAGAAGGAAGGGGACTTGGAAACAGTACAGTATGAGGTGGTGTAGCTGACGTCTGTATCAGGGCTACAGAAGAAGATGACACCGTGATTCCTGGAAGTCTTAAGAGGCGAGCAAACGTTTTTCCCTTAAATATCAAAATGGGTTCACCAGCCTAGAGCTGGAGTTGAGAAGGATTTTATGCACAAAATGTCCAGCTCGTGGCCTGAGCCCCCACCTGTGGGGCTAAAGCACAGCATACCTGTGGAAGAGCGAAAGGCACTGCCGGCTGGGCGGCCAGATCTAGAAGGGCTTTTACTCAAGCCAGTTCAGAGAGGAGGAAAAGAGGAGTTTATTGGATAGATGCCCTAAAATCTGAGGACAGCCAGGCCTGACAGCCTGGAAACAAGAACTAGAAAGTCCCTGGGAAGCCAGGCAGTCCTGTTCCCACCTTGCCACCCATCTCTTCCTCCTGCTGGGCTTCTGCTGCCTCCTCTCTCTGCACCTTGACTTTCTCGGCTCTTCTGTCCAGTTGTCTCTTATGTGTGGATTGGTTGAACAGTGGAGGCTGGAATGCCATGGAAGTGGCTTTTTTAAAAGGTTACGTTTGCAATTACCGTTTAAGATGGATTGGCGAGAGATCAGTAGGAGCCACAGCAATGGAGAAAGAATGGGAGCCTGGAGTAGGAGGACTACGGGAAGAGAGTGGTGGGGGGGAGAATTTAAGAAATAATTGATGAGACTGAGAAAATGATTGGACATAGGATGAAAGAGGGGATGAGGGTTGACAGTAAGGTTTCCAGCTCCAGAGCCTGGGCCGGTAGAAATACTCTGTTTCTAGGTAAAGAAACACAGAGGGAGGAGATGTATTTGTTGAAGGGCAGTAGTTATGATAAATACAGTTTTAGAGATTCGGGCTTTATATCTGAGATAGCAACGTAGAAAGAGCCAGGATTCTGCAATCAGTAGTCAGAGTTTGAATTTCAATTCTATAATTTATTATCTGTAGGTAAACTTGGCCAGGTTACTTGAATTCTTTGAGACTCACTTTAATCTGTAAAATGAGGTTTGTAACGTGTGCCTTGTCGAGTCATTGGGAGGACTGTAGATAACATTAAGTGCCCAGCTCAGTGTCTCACACGTGGGGTTTCTCCGCCCTTCCCCTCTCCACATTACCCCAGGCTTCTTCCCCTCTCCACAAGCCTTTTCTTGTTGGTAGGATTGGCACCACAATTTTGGAGGGATATGACTGCCTTGGGCTTGAATTCAACCTAGTTTTGGAGAAGTTTCTAAGTATAAATCTAAACCTTGTAAAGCAGTAGAGGACGAGTTACATTTCTGCAAATGGTTCTTCTAACCAGTCCACGAAGTTAGTCGGCATTAGTGGGGCCAAGGAGAGTGCGGGGAGGCAGCAAACGGAAGTGTTTTTTCTTCCTGAAGAAGGCCAGCTGGCTGTCCTGAGTGTAACCAGTGACTTGGCCCCGTTCCTCCTCTTGTCTTCCAGACTAAGTGGTGACTGGCAACACAGAAGAAAAATTGCTTGCTTTCTGAATTCCTTCCCTCACTGTAGAGCATATCTGAACAGCAGTATTTGTTTCTCTTGCGTCAGCTTCACCACGTAGGGGCCTTGCCTGATAGTGAAGCTCATTCAGAAATGGAGCAAGAAGGGAGGGGCCGTTTCAGTTTTGAAGGGCTGTTAACGGCACGGCCGAAATGTGTTTCTATTTTAAACATAATCAACTTTAAAAATGTGTCATACCCTTAACCAAAAGAGACCAGTATGGGCCTCTAAAAATAGTTTTCTTTGTTTGGATGGGGATGAGCTGCCTGCTGTAATCTCACAGCCACCCTTGCCCAAGCAAGAATTCTCACTTAGAGTAACAGGTTATCTTTGTAGTGTACTTCCCATGGAACTGGGGGTGGGATCAGTATTGAGGTAAAAAGGAGGTTGTAAGAAGGCTTTTGGTCCTTATTTTGGTTTAATATAACTCTTCTGCTGCTGCTGCTGCTCTACAGGGAGGGGGATGGCATAGGGATGTTGGAATTTCATGCTTAAAACATTTGCTGCCTGCCAATCTCAGTTTTTCTTCTCGGTTCATGTTAAAGAACAAAATCATCTTTGAGTGTCATGAAAAAATAAAATGTTCTATAACTATGTCCTTATTGACATTAAGTGATTCCTTATGTCTCCGTACAACTAATTTTATAGGGTAAATACACCACCAGCAAACTCAGGGGTATGGAAGGAAAGCTCCAAAACCCAGATATGGCTTTGAGCAACAGCAGGGAGGACAGGAACCTGAGGTGCCGGGTGTGTGCTTGTCCCCTTCCACTGGGAGTCCCTGCAGATGACTCCAATCTGCTGCCGGTTAAGTGGAAACAGCTTCACCTCCTACATAGTACCTGAGATTACAGAACTGCGCTCTCTGTGTGTGTTTCTCTGTAGGGTAGGGCTCAGATGGGTCCAAAAAAAGAGCCAACTGTCACCAGTGCCGTGGGAGCTTTGCTGCAGAACAGAGCCCTGGAGGCCATGAGTGGGATCCCAGCCAAGTCAGGTGAGTCACAACAGGCATTTCAACTTTGGAATGATGGGGGATTAAGGGAACCACACTTGGCTTTGGGACTCATTGGTAGTCGGCAAAAGCTATAATGACATTCACTGTTGCTTTTGGATACAAAGATGTTGGTTTGTTTGAGGCTAAACCTTATTTGCTAAGAAGGCAAATTTGCCAAGAGGGAATAGTTCTTAAAGATTACACAACTTTGACAATGTACAAAATCAAATCTGATCACAGCAGCAGGAGTCTAGAACCATTGTTCTCCAGTCTAGTAAAATCGAAAAGAGATTGAGAATAAGAGAAGACCACATGTCAAGTGTTGTGTTGAAAATAAGGGGAGAGTTTTCCTTTCTAGAAATAAATACAGATGCTCCTTAATTTACAATGAGGCCACGTCTCTATAAACCTGTCCTAAATTAAAAATATACTAAGTTGAAAATGCATTTAACACCCCAATAAACCCAATCATAAAGTTGAAAAATCATAAGTCACACCATTGTAAGTCAGGGACTGTCTGTACATTCATCCCTTGGTATCCACAGGGAATTGGTTCCAGAATCCCTGAGTACACCAACATCCAAGGATGTTCAAGTCCCTGATATAAAATAGTGTGGTATTAATATTTGCATATAACCTATGCATATCGTCCCGTATAGTTTAAGTTATCTCTAGATTACTTATAATACCTGATACAATATAAATGCTATATGAGTAGCTATACTGTATTTTTAAAATTTGTATTAATTTTTATTGTATTTTTATTTTTTAATATTTTCAATCTGTGGTTGGTTGAATTCACAGATGCAGAACCTGTAGATACAGAGGGTGACTGCAGTTTCTTCAAAGTAGCAGCAAACATAACCACCATTACAGTTCTGGATGATAGTAGCCATCCTCCTGGGTGTGAGGTGTATCTCATTGTAGTTTTGATTTGCATTTCTCCAATGATTAGTGATTTAAGCATCTTTTCAAGTGCTTATTGGCCATTCATATATCGTCTTTGGAGAAATGTCTATTCAAGTCCTCTGCCCATTTTTGAATTGGTCATTTTTTTGTTGTTGACTTTAGAAATTCTCCATATGTTCTGGATATTAATCCCTTATCAAACATATGCTTCACAGATCCAGTAGTTGCCTTTTTACTCTATTGATATTGGTTTTGGTTCACAAATTTTAAAATTTTTCATGAAGTCCTATCTGTCAATTTTTTTCTTTGGTTTCCTGTGCCTTTGGTGTTACATCCAAGACAGAAATTTACTCTTGTGTTTTCTCTTAAGAGTTTTATAGTTTTAGATCTTACATGTAGGTCTTGGATCTAATTTTTACATATGGTGTTAGGTAAGGGTCCAGCTTCATTCTTTTGCATGTGGAATCCAGTTTCCCCAGCACCATTTGTTGAAAAGACTGTCCTTTCCCTATTCAATGGTCTTGGCACCCTTGTCAAAAATCATTTTACCATATATGCAAGGTTTATTTCTGGACTCTTTATTTCACTGGTCTATATGTATGTGTTTATGCCAGTATTGCACTGTTTTGGTTACAGTAGCTTTGTAGTAGATTTTGACATCAGGAAGTGTGGGTTCTCCAATCTTGGCTCAAGATAGAGCCAAGATTGTTTTGGCTATTTGGGGTCCCTTGAGATTCCATGTGAATTCCAGAATAGGCTTTTTTATTTCTGCAAAAAACGTCATTGAGATTTTGACAGGGATTACGCTGAATCTGTAGATTGCTTTTGTTGTTATGGACATCTTAACAATAATAAGTCTTCAAATCCATGAACATGATATATGTTTCCATTTATTTATGTCATCTTTAATTTCTTTCAGCAATGTTTTGTATTTTTCATTAATAAGCCTTTCAGCTCATTGGTTAAGTTAATTCTTAAGTATTTTACTCTTTTTGATGCTATTAAATAGAATTATTTTCATAATTTCCTTTTCTAATTGTTCATTGTTAGTGTATAGAAACCCATCTGATTTTTGTGTTGACTGTATATTTCACTACTTCACTAAATTCATTTATTCTAACAGGGTTTATTTTGGTAATATCTTTAGGGTTTTCTACATATAAGATCATATAGTATCTGTGAACAGAGATCATTTTACATCTTCCTTCCTGACTTGTATGCCTTTTATTTATTTTTCTTGCCTGACTGCTCTAACTAGAACTTCCAGTACTATGTTGAATAGAAGTGGTGAACATGAGCATCCTTGCTTTGTTCCTGATTGTAGAGGGAAAGTTTTTAGTCTTTCAACATTGAGTATGGTATTCTCTGTAGGTTTTTCCTATATGATTTTTATTATGTTGAGGTAGTTTCCTTCTATTCTTAGTTTCTTGAGTGTTTTTATCATGAATGGGGTTAAATTTTCATGCTTTTTCTTCATCAATTGAGATGATGATATAGTTTTTGTCCTTCATTCTGTTAATTCGGTATCAGTTTTTCTATGTTGAACCATCCTTGCATCCCAGGAATAAATCCACTTGATCATAGTGTACAATCCTTCTCATGCTGCTGAATTAGGTTTGCTGGAATTCTTCTGAGGATTTTGCATTAATGTTCATAGGGATAATGGTCTGTAGTTTTCTTATGGTGTCTTTATCTTTGATATCAGGGTAATGCTGGGCCTCATAGAATGAATTAGGAAGTATTTTCTCCTCTTCAGTTTTTTGGGAAAAGTTTGAGAAGGATTGGTGTTCTTTAAATGTTTGGTAGAATTCAGCAGTGAAGCCATCAAGTCCAAGGCTTTTCTTTGTCATGAGATTTTTGATTGGTTATTCAATCTCCTTATGAGTCATAAGTCTATTCAGATTTTCTGTTCCTTCATGATTTAGTCTTGGTAGGTGTCATGTTTTTATGAATTTGTCCGTTTCACCTAGGTTATTGAATTTGTTGGCATATAACTGTTCATAGTACTATCATAAAAACCTTTTTGTTTCTGTAGCATTGGTAGTAACATCTCCACTTTTATTTCTGATTTCAGTAATTTGAGTTTTCTCTCTCTCTTTTTTTTAAGTCCATCTAGCTAATGGTTTGTCAACTTGTTGATCTTTCCAAAGAACCAACTTTTGGTTTCATTGACTTTTCTCATTTTTTAATTCTTAATTTCATTTATCTCTTCTCTAATCTTTACTTCTAATAGCTTTTGCTTTAGTTTTTCTTTTTTTTTATTTCAGAATATTATGGGGGTACAAACATTTTGGTTACATAAATTGCTTTTATACTGTTTGAGTCAAAGTTATAAGTGTGCCCATCCCCCAGATAGCGTGCACTGTACCTGTTAGGGGTGAATTTACCCACTCCTTCTTCCCCCTCCACCTGCTTGATTTCTGATGAATGTTATTTCTATATGTGCACGTAAGTTTTGATTGATTAGTTCCAATTTAAAGGTGAGTTCATGTGGTGTTTGTTTTTCCATTCTTGTGATACTTGATTTAGAAGAATGGTCTCCAGTTCCATCCAGGTTAATACAAGAGGTATTAGTTCATCATTTTTTATGGCTGAGTAGTACTCCATGGTATACATATACCACATTTTATTAATCCACTCATGTGTTGATGGACACTTGGGTTGTTTCCACATCTTTACAATTGTGAATTGTGCTGCTATAAACATTCTAGTGCAGGTGTCTTTTTTATAGAATGTCTTTTTTCCCAGTAGGGGGATTGCTGAGTCAAATGGTAGTTCTACTTTCAGTTCTTTGAGGTATCTCCATACTGCTTTCTATAGAAGTTGTACTAGTTTGCAGTCCCACCAGCAGTGTATGAGTATTCCTTTCTCTCTGCATCCACACCAACATTTGTCATTTTGGGACTTTTTGATAAAAGCCATTCTCACTAGAGTTAAGTGATATCTCATTGTGGTTTTGATTTGCATTTCCCTGATGACTGAAGATGTTGAGCATTTTTTCTTATGTTTCTTGACCATTAGTCTATCTTCTTTTTAATGGAGTTGTTTGATTTTTTTCTTGCTGATTTTCCTGAGTTCTATACAGATTCTAGTTATCAGCCCTTTATCAAATGTATGGCATCCAAATATTTTCTCCCATTCTGTAGGTTGTCTATTTGCTCTAGTGATAGTTTCTTTGGCTGGGTAGAAGCTTTTTAATTTGATCAGGTCCCAGTTTCTTTGGCTGTGCAGAAGCTTTTTAATTTGATCAGGTCCCATTTATTTATTTTTGTTGTTGCTGCGATTACTTTTGGGGTCTTCTTCATAAATTCTTTGCCTAGGCTGATGTCTATAAGAGTTTTTCCAGCATTTTCTTCTAGAATTCTTATGATTTCATGCTTTAGGTTTAAGTCTCATCCATCGTGAGTAGATTTTTGTGAGAGGTGAGAGGTGTGGATCCAATTTCAGTCTTCTACATGTGGCTATCCAATTTTCCCAGCACCATTTATTAAATGGGGATTCTTTTCCCCAGTGTATGTTTTTGTCTGCTTTGTCAAAGATCAGATGGCAATATGAGGATGGTTTTATATCTGGATTCTCTGATCTGATCCATTGGACTGTGTCTCTGTTCTTGTGCTAGTACCATGCTGTTTTGGTTACTATATCCTTGTAGTATAGCTTGAAGTCATAAATTGATGCCTCCCAAATTGTTCTTTTTTCTTAAAGTTGCTTAATTTTCTTTTTCTTCCTTTATTTTTCCTAACTACCCAAATTCTTAGTATTAAGTTTGCTTTAGCTATACGGGGTCTTCTGGGGTTCCATACGAAGCATAGAATTATTTTTTCTAGATCTGTGAAAAATGTAATTTTTTCTTCTCTTTCTCTTTCCTTAACTTGTAAAGTTAGGTTGTTAATATGATATTGTTTTTAATGTAAGCATTTATAGCTAAATTCCCCTTTAGTGCTGCTTCTACTGAGTTCATAAGTTTTGGTGTGTTGTATTTTGGGTTTCATTTGTCTCCAAGTATTTTCTAATTTCTCCTGTGATTTACTCTTTGATCTATTGGTTGTTTAAGAGTTTGTTGTTTAATTTCCAAAAATTTGTGCATTTTC